GATTATTTGATTGTCGAAAGTTGTTGAGCAATAATATTTTATTGCTGTATTGTTGATTTCGGCTGTCAACACTCGTCAACGTATCGAGTAAACATTATAAGCTACAGAATGAGAAGTTGATTCGAACTGTGAAGTGAAATGAGACGAAACGAATGAGAAAAAGTCATGAAGAGAACGATATTCGCATGTAATAGCTATGAGAGTGAATACAACACGTCTGAAAAGAATGAGAATTCGTCTAAATCAGTTTGGAGTGAACGTGTCATAGACAATTGGTTCGATTTCAGAACTGAACTTGTAAGTTCATTATCCTGCAAATTCCCTTTTATCACTACCATCCTCAGTGAACATTACACCCTAAGATAACCAGAATTCGGAGGATCATGGAAATTTTGAATGATTTCAACAATAAATCGTGAATTTCACTGCATAATCTCACGAATAACATTTCCACATTTGTATTGCTAATTGAAGAATTTCTTTTCAGTGGTGCACAAACAGATAAACGATCGTTTGGTAACGACACCTTCAGAAGATCGGTTACGAATGATTTGTATAGAAAAGAACACATCCAATAACAATGTTTTATTATTACGCCACTGTTATTCCCAACTACTATACATACATTATCCAATTTGCACAAAATTATCTAAACTGAAAAATATTCGAAAAATACGATCGCAGCAAACTTAACTTCTTCATGAAAAGCCTTTGTCAGCCACTCTGTTCAAATTATACAATAATGCGCAATGGCTTATATCAGCTAGTGATGGTAAGCGACCGAAGTTCGCTCGTTAGAATCCGATTTTGAGAATTTCGTCGAAGTCCAACCGAAGGATTTTGCGATTCAGTCAAAGTACCGAATTTCGGAACTTCAAAAGAAAAAAATGGTTTCAGTCGGATTCTAGTCGAACCAAAATTTCGTTCGATAACCATTCACTGATTATTATATACACACACACCAGTACGTGCATTTCAACTGATCGTTTTCATTAGTCGAGATGAAATAAATCTTATAGAAGATGGATCTGAAAGAAAGTTGAACGGTACAGCAAAACAGATAGATGGATAGACTGAGATCAAACGATAATAAAGTCACCAAAAATTTGGATATCATTCGGAAGCATTTGAGATATTATAGAATGAAAGTGGTAAAAGTGTTGCTGTTTAGTTTGAACGAACTCGGATTGATTCAACAACTGAACAATTGAGAAGGTGTTTCTTAACAAACAATCGCAATGTATACAAAGAGGTCTCTATCTATCTCAAGCAGTAATAATAATGACAATAACAATAATACGCAACTATGCTAACACAAAATTCAATTCCATTCAATTAAATTTCATCATTCCAACAACAACATCAAAAGAACGCTTTCATTTTGCACTAACAAACGCATATTTACAATACCGTACAACCGAACACCAAGATTCAATACAATTCAACGAGCAAGTATTATGTCATTCCATAGAAACTGTTCTGGGGACTTTTCTTTAGAAGAAAACTCTTTTATAATCATTTCAAGGATTGTTTTCATCATTATTATAATTGCAATAACAAATGAAATATTAAATGAAATAATACATAAATTAATTGTAAGTAAATGAATGAAAAACAATGAATGAACCAAAGAAAAGATTACTGATAACAATCACATGAACTAACAATGAAATCAAAAGAATGAAGCGAATAAAAATCGAATACATCCAATTTTGATAATACTGCCATGTTTTAATGGTGCACTTTTGGAGAGTGGTGTTATTTGAGAGAATGCTGACGATGTACATGAACACGAGTACAGATTCATCGATTTTAAATGCCTTCTTGTTGGATTCTCCGAGTAGAGAATGCCATCCACGCAAACGCATTCCATACCTATCGGTGATAACTCGAAACGGCGACGTGCCTGAAACGATATGATAGGTTGTGTTACGGGCAGGCAGGCAGGCAGGCAGTCAGGCGTTAAAGTGTGAACGAACCCGATTGAAGATGAGATCAGCGTGATGTGAAGCAATCGCCGTGCAACTGCTGCATGTTCTCGAGAGATCAATGAGACAATTCGAATCGACGCCTAATGAAGTGATCATCTGCTGGATGGGATATGCGTCCGAGCCGTCTGCTTTCAACACGGCCAATATCGGTTGATTTCGACGAAGCACTTGCGGATCGAAGCGCAGAAATTGTTTCGGTGAGATTATTGTCGAGTTAACTTGATTACTACAAGAGTTGATCTGCTGCAGTCGTTGGTATGCCAATGCACCTAAGAGTTGTTGCTCTTTATTCCTACTCTTCGAAGACATCAATCGCACACATTCCCTCTCTAAACGTTTCATCATATCCTTATCACCATCTGCTTCATTCACCTGAAATTCGTTTATCATCCTTTTCAAATCTCCAATAATCTCACTCAGCTCTAAATTTGTTGCTCATACGTCAATGTATTACACTTGAAAGTTACACTTGAAAGATATTCATTCACTCTTTTGTATCACTTCATTTTTAGAATCAAAATTCATATACATCCCCATTTGAATAAACTTGACGATGCATGTGTTACATCTGAAACAGAAGGACAAAATTATGAACGCTCTCTATGAAAGCTGATTTAATTTGATTGATCGTCTCAGGAAATCGCTAGTCAAATCAACATCAAAATCTACAATGCAAACGATACGATCCAAAAGCACCAACCTCCCACTCTTGATCGTCGTCGTCAGATTCTTTGCCTAGCAGTTGCTCATCAGAGACATGACTGGTCACATCACTTTTGGTCTTCTTTGTATTCTCTTCGTCTAAATTCAACTTGTCCAATGATTCAACTTTAATTTTACTAAATTTGTGATCACTCGCCGATGATACACTGCTTTTGTTCGCATCGTCAGTGATCAGTTCCTTTTTGACGTGATCATCATTTGAGACGAGCGAATGGGAATCGATTCGGCTCGAAGTTGCCGTCTCTGAAGATGCGGATGTAGAGGGAACAGCATCAGCAAGACACCGCATCCGCTGCATATGCAACAGTGCATCGAACCAATCCCCTTGCTCTTCTCGCGTACTGAATTCATCTTTCTTCCAAAACTTCCACCGTTTCACATATAAATCCTTCACACCTTTCGGGATTCGATGTCGTTTACGACCTATCTGAAATAAACTCATCGTTCAATCCTCATAAGTTACCTGAATTTGATTGCATGCGCTTCAACTCCTTACTCTTAAAAATGAATGTTTTCATAGTCATTATAATCAATTGCTGATGATAACCGAGAGGAGTTGCCGATTAATTGATTTACCTCGGCACAATTTCGTTGCAAAATCGATGCGTTCGAACGATCCGACTTGGTCTTATCAATGAAGCGCAGTTTAACGGTGAGATCCTCAACTGGTTGACGAGCGTGCTTTTGCCATAACTTCATTCGTTCGGTTATTGAGATGGACTTCAGCAGCTTACGGTCCTTAAAATATCGCAGCTCAAAATTGATTTCGCAGCTGAACTGGTTGATAAATGTCAACGACATTAGCAAGAGAACGAACCGTGAAATGCTCGACGTGTGCTGGACACATCCAACGATCCTTTGGTGGCACAGTGAGTGGCGGATTCAAACAATCCAAATGATAACACAACGGACAAAAATCACATTTCAGTAGAGAGCTCGACGCGTCCTCTGATCCTCTGAACATATCAAAAATATGAATATCAGAATGAGTAGCAACGGCGGTAGCATTAATAATCTCACTTTGAACACAGATGACAAATGGCTGTCGAAGGTGCAGCTGCTCGAGCTGGGTACATATCCTGATAGGGCACATTGACGATATGCTTATTGATCGTCAACGGTAACTGGAACTGCTCAGCGTTTATCGATAGCGCCGCATCGGCCAACACCGATAAGGCATTCTCGTGCGCGTTCTTATCACCAGCATTCAGCGTATCCAACCGCTCGAATATACTGATCATGGCTGCCTCGTTACGTCCTTTCTCCGTTAAGATCGCACCGTCTTCTTGCTAAAATTGCATTCTGATCCAAATTTGAATCATATCATCATACTGAACCAACATCACTGAGAATATGAATCTAATAGAAACCGATGAATGAATAATGCCATTAGATTCCATTAGACGAACAAACCGTTAATGATTTCAGAGCTCTTTTGGTGCCTTTGATGTTGGAATCGTTGTTGGCAATGGCATGAGTGCATCGATTACAAAGCCATTTGCCGGTCGGTATCGTATTGCGTTCGATTGCTGGTTCGTGACACATCAGATGAAACGATGCTGGGCATCTATCACAGCACAACAACTCACCACCCTCCTTAACACCTCGGCACATTACCCACATTCTCATACGCTTTCAAAATGTTCATCC